AATTTGATTGTACGGGATTTTCCGGTCCGGCGACAAAATGCTATTGCTACCCCTTTATTAATGCTATGGTAACATTATAGATGGACTGCCTGCTCCACTGGTAGTCAGAAGAAGTCACATTCACGTAGTTCCCAAGATGGCTCATACAAGTAATGGGGGCACGAGGGCGCTAGTGGGCCGTTGAATCATCCTGACCTTTGCAAGGGGACGCCCCTCAGCTTTTTCATGCGCTGAGACTTTTGGCAGCAAGCACGGACGGTCCGTTTGCAGTTTCCCTGGCGCCCGACAAGCTCTCGCACAGCGGCCTCTCCTTTGGCCTCGCATGTTATGCGCAACTACCCCAAAGTATTTGATGATTGATTACGGAGGCCAAGGCTATGTGGAGGGAGGCAGTCAAGTCGGACTTCTTGTCTTTACTTTTGATTGGTTTCCGTCCTTTGCCAATCATTGCTACATCCAACGCTGCAACTACCTTGGGGTATGTTTTCTTCCGGCAATCAAAGTTTTCCGACCAAGATGTGTCATATTCGGCCCCATAGGGCGTCCTGCCCTCCAAATCGACTTTGTTACCAACGTGGCATCCTCAACTGAGTCTGGCTGCAGCTGAGCTCCCGCTAAAACTCTTGTTCCGAAATGCGGCTGATAAATGGTAGTGTGTCATTGTCGGATTTCTCCGTCTTGTAAACAGCATTTCAGCAAGTTGGATTTACTAATGGTATTTCTTTTGACAATCATCTCAGGGGTATCAGTCTTGAGGTTCTCCTATCGCGAAACAGGGTTTACCGAACATGACAAAAATCATGGCTGCCCTATCAAGGCTTCGGTCTGCCAGTCACAGATAACTCTCATATCATACATGACATGGAGGAACCTAAGGTGAAGTTACATGATGCGGGCACCTTTGCGTCCAGCACCCCGCCGCCATTGAGAATGCTGTAGGGGAAACCATCACGTCGAGTCACGCCTGCATTCTGCACCACAGAACTTGCTGAGGGAACCAAGCTAAGTGTCTTCTTCTCCGTGGTTGAATCTAGCCGCTACACAAAGGATTGCGTGAGATTGCTGCTCTACTTGGGTCTCTACATCTGCAAATCCGGGAAGCCATCCTAGGCGAGTCTTAAACTACTGTTTGTACGCGACCAACCGTATCACTCAAACACAAGAACTGCAAGGAAAGGCTTCTTTACAGGCCACCATCCACACGTTGCCTATCGACGACATGAGAACGAAGCGGCGCTTCTGCCTGGGTCGGTGTCCGCAACCCTTCTCCGTCTGGATTGACCCCAGGCTCCAGGATTCACGTAGCTTTCATTCCCTGTCCCCGACATGTTGTGGCTTCTCTAATTTCGATGCTTCTCCAAACCTGGATAGACTCATTGGGTTATAAACCCAAGAGTAGTCTGTAAACCTGCGTGCTGCTTCGAATCCGCAGTGACGACAATATCACAAAATAGCACATAGGATCCGGAATGCTTGTACCATATGCGAAGTTGTCTCTACAACCACAGCGTATGTTATCAGCATTAAAACAACAATGACAAAGCAATGCCATGGCAACGTCACAAAAAGGGATATGAAGAATGAAAATACAGCTAGAGGACTGCAGGAGCATCATCCCAACCAAATTGAAGTAGAGCAGTTGAGCAATAGTGCGACAATACCACCATTAAGAAATGCTGAACTCAAAGTGCAAAAGCTACATCACAGTGTCATGGTAAGCCGTGGGTTTACATAGTTCCCAGTTCAAGACCACACCATCACCGAACAAGATAACAACATGAGGGAAGCAAACAAGACAGTAAGATTTTTCGTTGCTGCAACGAAGGCACGGTAACAACATCTCGAACAAAAAGAGGTTCCGTTGCTGCCAATGCGCAACTCCATGGGATGACGTAACATAAGCCATGCGCGTTGTACAGGCATAAACAGGCACTAGCCTGTTGAAACAGTATGGGTGCATGAACGATGCTAAAAACAACCCTGGACTCACAGTCTCACGTAGCGCTTTACTGGTATGCTTCTACTGTCAGACTTCTCCCCCAATGCAACAAGCAAGCTCCCTCTTGACACTAGATCTGCAATCGTCCGAACATGCGTGATCTTTTCAGAACCTTGGAACCAATTGCTGAGAGCCACGCCCTGATGCTGAAGACCTTAATGTGGGGATTGCAGAAGTGGAAGAGCTCTTTTGCATCTGGACCAACTCACTTTTTTGGATACTTGTTTGCCCGAAGCTGTCAGATATGACAACCTGGAGAACAGTCCACGGTACATGCTCCACAGCTGGCTGATTGCCCTTTGCAGCTTGCAAAATACCGAGACGGATGCCACACATGCGCGGCATTCTTTACGCCAAAATGGTCCACCTCAGATATGCCGGCATGTTTAGCAGCCCTTGCTTTGCAGAGTGTGTCGACCCAGCAAAGCGTGCCTGTCGAGACGAAAAGCGGGCCCTAAAGCCTTCAACTTCTGAGTCTCAGGCAGATTCTGGATGATTTCCTTTCTCCCACCTTTGCAACATTGTCAAACTGCGTGCCGCTTGTCTGTGAATGCTATATGGCTGTCTGCACAGCATCCTCTCCCCTCTGCAAACGTGCCACAACACAACTACACCAAACCTCTCGTGACCAAGATCCGGTAGGCGCTCGCGATCCTAATGACTGGCCAATGCAGTTCCTTTAGTGCATTAATTATGTGTGATGAGGGCTGCGTAGGCTGAGGGTTTGACTGTCCAGCTATACCAAAAGCTGGAACTCCAGTAGTGCAAACCTCAGGGTCAGTTCTGAAGAGCGTCAGAGCTTGTAGCCAGAAGCTTTCCAGTTGACAGCTGATTGAACGGTTGACATGAACTGCAGGGAAATGCCATGGAGAAGCAACTTCCGCACGCAAACAACAGGCAGACATTCTCTTCAAAGCCAAAGTTGCTACCTTGCAGCTTCAGGCCAAAATGCTAGGAAGCTAGCCACTGCATTCGCATTGCCTTGGTGTGGTACGCTGTTTCCAAGCGTGGTCGTCAAAATCACTGTCTGTTTTCATCAGATAAAAGAAGCATCTGAATAACTTCACATGAAGTTCGTGAGGCCATTTGCAGAAGTAGTGCGCATGCTGCCCGAAGGAAGCTGTTGCCACAGGTCTTAAGCCATTCTTGCACGTGCGAGCATAGAATAATGGTAGAACGCTTTGATGAGCTGGATTTGCGGCTGTCGCAGATTCAGTCACTTCAGGGATTCAATCAAGAATCTGAGTTGCGCAATGCATGTTCAAAGCCCGACAGAACAATGGATTCGGGAAGTCCCCTGTGGCCCCGGGCTGAGGGGCTCTTGTAGGGCCAGCGCATCCCGTGAGTCCTGGGCAGGCTAGCTTTTTGAAGCACGGACTGTGTTCTGAGGCCGGTGCATCTGCGCACAAAGTGTGAAGCAA